CTTGAGGCTTACGCCTCAAGTTTTTTTTATGAGTCTTGCGCCTCAACTTGGTTGAGGCCCGCCTTAAGGTGTGCATCGCCTCACTGGCGTGAGGCTTACGCCTCACCCGATATATATTAAAACTTACATAAATCTTGAAGTAAAGCCGCAAACAAATCACACTTCGTGTACCTCTAGTCGCAGCAACTTCCTTAACCTCTAAACCGTCGTCATTTTTTAACATATTATTTGAGTATTATATAAAAATTTACTTTTAACGTTTATTTGCACTTAACACACTACCTAATTGTGCATTTTTAAACATGGTGATGACAGTGTTGATGACTTATGAGTTCTTATGTGATATGTCATTGCTATTTATTTTTGGAATTATATGTTAATGAAAAAAATACTGTGATTTGGGAAAGATAGAGTTTGAGTTGAACTATATTTCATATTGTCTTATTATTGGAATATTTTGATTTCACTTCATATATTGTGCATTTTTATGTTTTATATATTATTTACTCATTAGTATATACAAAAATTATCATTTTATGTTTACGCAATTTTTTGATTTTGAGGCTTACGCCTCAAAACGCCTTGAGGCTTACGCCTCGCCTCACAAACGAAAAACACCTCAATACCCAATTACACAATTTTAAACATTGAGTTAAACCATTGACTTCAAAAGTAGTCTTTAGAAATGACATTTTAATGCCTTAGAAGAGAAATCCAATAAACAAAAAGTTGGTTGCAGGCCGAAGGTTGATGCATTTGATCTATTCCTTAAAAAAAATTATTTTTTAATATATTTAAGATTTATGTCATGATTATTCGAGAAGTTTTACGTAATCCCCAACTTTTATCATCCAGGGCTTCGAACTTGACAACGACAGTGTTAAAAGACTAGAGAGGGAGTTGAAGGAAAACTTGAATTATGGAGGTCAACCTTAGGTAAAAAGGTTTTCGTTTGAGTAAATCTAAAACCGAATTCATGGAGCATAATTTTAGTAGTAATAGATATAGTGAGGGGGTTGTGACTTTGGGCGATCAAGTCATTAAAAAGAGTACACATTTTAGATATCTTGAGTCTATTGTTCAAAGTGATGGCGAAATAGATGGGGATATTATTATAGTAGAATTCAAGCTTGAGTTGAAGTAGAGGAATGTGTCGGGCCTGTTGCTGATAGAAAAGTATCCCTCAAACTTAAGGTAAAATTCTGTAAGATGGTGGTGAGACCTAAAATGTTTTATGCCGCAGAATGTTGGCCGTTAAATGTGAAGAATTAAAAATAAGTCAAGTGTTACAGAGATAAGGATGCTCAGTGGATGAGTGGCTTTACACTTAGAGATAGAATGCGACTAGTGGCAGATAATATTAGAGAGAGTCGCCTTTGATGGTTTGGTCACATAAAACATCTGCCTTTCGATGACCCGATTAGGAGAATAAATGTATTAGAATATTAGATTTTACGTATGTTAAGAAAAACATATGTAAACCTAAATATTCTTTGTTTGAAAGTATTAGAATTGACCTTTTTATTAGATTTAAATGAGAATTTGACTTTTAACAGGATATAATGAAGAAAATGATTCATGTTGCCAACCCCACGTAGTGGGATAATTTGATAAAGGCTTGTTGTTGTTGTTGTATAGTAGGGTTTGCTAGAGCAATAACATTTTATATATATATATATATATTGCTGCAAGATAATGGTGTTGCAGTCGAGAGGATAGAACGAGAGCATATATATTGTCAACGTATAGTGCTGTTGTAGCCGATATGGGCATATTAAAGTCTAGTAAGAGCGGATGAAATCAAATTATGTCCATTAGTGATTGTGGCAATAGCACGATACTCAACTTGGTAAAGGATTGTGCCATGTTGGGTTGCTTTTTTACACGCCAAGATATTAGTATTTTGCCAAAGGGACAATAGCTTGTAGTTGATTTGTGATCATGAGGATCACCAACTTAGTCGGTGTTAATGAATGCTTCGAGTTAAAGTTGGTTACTTTAGATTGGAAAACCATAAGGAGTTGTACCTTTGATGTATCAAAACAGATTTTTTGAGCATTTGAAAGTGAAGATTGAGGAGCTTGTGCATGTTTTGGCACACCCTGTTCATCACAAATGAGAGGTTTGGCTTTATGATGGTGAGTGCTATAGGAAGCCTACATGATGATAATAAAACACACGGTCGGTGAACTCAATAGCAGGATTCTTTATGATTAGTCTTGGGTAGAAGTGGGGTTCATTTAGATGTAGACTATAAGTGCTTGGAAGAGCCTAAAGGTCAAGAAAGTACGAGGTTGATCCTAGATTTTTCATATGAAAGGTAAAGCGGAGGTTGTTGAGAAGGTCCAAAATAGCTGTGGAGTTGTTACTAACCAATAGGATATTGTTCACATAAATTAAAATTACATGGTGATGTTGTTGCATTTGTTGAGCAAAAGGGAGGGACTGGCCACGCTAAAGGTGAAGTCTAGTTGTTGGAGATTGCCAGAGAAAGTTGCAAACCACTACTTGGGAGCTTTTTTGAGACTGTGAATGGCCTTCTTTAGAAGACAAATATGGCTCATTTGTCTCATCGAGTTAGTAGTGGATGACATCTAGAAAATAATTGATACAAAATATCAATAAGACTCTTAATAGGGAAAACAGCAAACTCAAGAAGGATCAACAAACTGTTGAGAGAAAACAACTTCTTGCGCATTGTATTATTCGAGCTTGCCATGGTTTTCCCAAGCACCATTTCCGATTTTTTGCAATTCAACAAAATTTCCCACTCTTTCTAATATCACCGGAGTAAAAACAATAATAATGATAATATTATTAAACTAACGAAGTAGCCAAAGGCTTCTTGCTGATCTTGTCCAATTTTATGGTTCAGGAATTACTGCAGTTTCCCTCTCCTTTGACTAGATATGATGGGACACGTACAGAAGTAGGTAGATATGAAGTGGATTGCAAATTCCAGCAATCTGATTTATGAGATCTTGCATTTTTCGTTCTAAACCTAAATTTGCAGCAGCTATAACTGATGGAAACGAGTCTTATGGTTCAATAAGAACGCGAGTTGCAGCAGCTATAACTGATGGAAACGAGTCTTATGGTTCAAAAAGAACGCGAGCTAGCTTTCCACTAGGACACGGAAGCTATTCCGGTGCAAGTTCCTTCCACTTCCGATTTCCAGCAACTGTTTTCCCTGGTCTGTAAAACTCAACTGTTGGTAATGTAAAGCTTCCTTTCTGGATTCTGTGGGAAAAGCCTTCAACAGCCAGGTTCTCCTACAGGATTAACAATGAACAAAGTTACGCGGCTCATCTTAATCTGTTGGTTGAGAACTTTGACTATCAATCAAGAGGTCTTTGATTCAAGACCTGCGTACGTGATGTGTATTAGTTTGACTTAATTTGCTCAACAGTCTTAAAAAAAATGAACAAAGTTGCTGATATTTTTGCTTCCATCTTGTCTACTAAGAAGTTCTTACTGAACATAAAAACCAACCTTTAAAAGGCTTAATTTGGATTATCTTCAACAATTCTCCTCCCAATTTGGAGTTGCCCTTCTATTGATTGTTGAGTTAGGATACTTCTCCTTTGGTCAAAGAATTCAGAAAGCGTTACAGCACCTAGCTGCCACGTAGGACAACAGGGTACAACCACCCGATTTTAAATTCTAGCCGTTAGAATTCTGCAGCAGTCCACCTTGGGAAGCCGCCGGAGATTGTTTCCAGATTGTCGAAATCAATTTTGAGAGAATCTTGGACTCCACTGTGATCTCCAACCTCTGAAATACTTTTTCTTGCTGCTGTTTTTGGATTTTCTGCTACAAGAACTGTGAAGACAACTACTTGGAATTGTTTCAGCAATGCCAAGATAGTTGAGGCGAAATTGTAGAAGCTTTGGTGATCAATGGTGGTTTATTTAGGGGTGTCAATATTGGACCCGACTCGAAAACCCGACCCAAAAATTTTGAGTTCGGGTTGACCCGAACCCGAAGCGGGTCGGGTTCGGGTTCAGGTTTTCAACCCGTTTCAAAAAATGGGCCGGGTTCGGGTTGACCCAGAAACCCGGCTGCCCGGTCTACCCGCTTTGCCCGCGTCATTCTTCATGCATGCATCGACTCGCTGCCGAGTGCCACGCGTGAGTACATGACGCGTTTGCCCAGTGCGGCAGTGCCCGGCTGCCCGCGATGGCGCGATCCAGCCATTGCCCGTGATCCAGCTGCCCAGTTTGGCAGCGCCAGTGCCCGCGATGGTGCGATCCAGCCACCGCCCGCGATGGCGCGATCCAGCATCCAGCGGTCGAGTCCGTCGTGCATCCCGCGGTCTAGTTCGCTGCTGCTGCCGAACGCCGAAGCGTGACCCGGCATGCCGCTGTCCATTCCAAAGCGGGTCGGTTTGGGTTGACCCGAACCAGAAGCGGGTCAGGTTCGGGTCCGCAAAACTGACCCGTATACAAAAACGGGTCGGGTTTGGGTTGACCCGAATAGTGCTGGGTCAATTCTGGGTTCGACCCGAACCCGACTCATGACCCGAAATTGACACCCCGAGGTTTATTCATAGCCAGGCTATCCCCTTTTTTAACACCTTCATTTTGTATGTGTAATTTTTATGAAGATGTTTGCAGATAACTTTGTTATTCTCCTACTCTTATTTCTCATTGGTTTTTTCATAGTTCCACCCTTCCATTCAGAATATTCTGCCACTAATGGTACAAAATAATAGCATAATATCTTATCCACATTCTTAACATTTCTGTATTATCCATGCATTTTAAGTGGCTGGAATCCCTCATTTATATCCTCACTTGATGGCCTGATCGAGACTTTAATTGACTTGGGGGTGGAATTGGAGTTGTTTTCTTTGTTCCCTTTGCTTCTATTTATTTTGAGATTGGTTTAATGGCTTTAGATGATTGAGTTGATTTGAAATACTTTTGGATTAAAGTGTTTAGCATCTTTATAAATTTGTACTTCACTCCATTATTGATATTCTTGATATATTGTTGCAGAGTGGAGGGAATGATGCCATATCCATTAAACTATAGTCATCCTAGGATAATTTTGGACTCGTCAGAGTTAATCGCGTGAAACTTCATGTTTGTATCAAGCTTTTTGAATCTAAAGGGCAAGATCAAGGATCCTAAAGTCATCTGTCCTTGCTCACCAAAGCCTTGCACCAACATCAGATCTTGCTCAAAGCGCTAGATATCAAGGGACAAATACCTAAATTATTGCAGACTCATGAGCACCAAAGACCTTGGGTCAATGAGAATATCATTCACAAAAATGCTGTTTCTCTTCGTCGTAATATAAAGTGATCAATTATGTTCATAAGTTCCAGTAAGGAATCTACATATACTATAATGAGTAGAATATTCTAGTCATGAAGCACTTCAATCAAACATTGCTCCATGGAATGTGCGCTTTGTATTGCTTCGAATTTTAGAGATTCCAAATTCCCAAAGGTCTTTTGACATGAGGAGAGTTTCATATATGTTGAGATGTAGGTGGGATCTTTCATAAATGTAAAATGATATTATCTTCATCCCTCTTAATTGAGGTCAATGCCTTCTTGTAATACTTTGGGATATCATCTTCGTTGCTCATTGTATTATTGTTTTGGTCTTTATTTGACAGACCCTTCTTTTATGGTGGTGGTAGTACTTTGCACACCTTAATTTAACTTTAAGCACTTCCTTTAGATTTCTTTGATAAAGAAGGATCTTCCAAATCAATTTCTTTGACAATCAGATGATTAGATATTTGAAGCTTTGGTGTCACTTCTTAATTTTAAATGCGCCATCTTTGATGCATTGGGGACTCCAAACAATTTTTATCAGAAAAGTATAAATCTTATTTGGAGGTGTCATTTGCTGCAACACTATGAGGCAAGACTATGTACCTTCAGGGGTTTCTTTTTCATTTGGAGAAGAAGATCTATGAGAGGCAAGACTATGTTGGAGTCATGTGATATATGTCATTGTTACTGCCAACTCTCTGCTACAGGCTTGAGAGTTAATTCATTTTGAAATGAACTAGAATGTAGAAATGACTCAACAAGTTTCAATCAAGAGTAACTCTTTATATTCTTCTCATGATGGATTTATTTTGAGCTTGGCCATAAACCTTGTAGGCCTAATAGGATGCCTTGCCGGTTGATGGTAGTCCTCTTAATTGTTAATAACTTTTGCATGATGGATTTCTTCTTTTTTTATTTTGTTTGTTAGGTTAGTCTTTTGGCGTTTTTTTTTCTTGGCAAAATCTGATTATACTCTTCCTGTATTGGGACGAATTTGGCTGGCTAGGCTGTTTGTTATATGGTAGCACTTTGGAAATGGAAGTACTTAGACATTGGCTTCCTATCAATTTAAGCACTAATTTAATTACAGACTTCCAGCAAATATTAGGAATGCCCGCAAGCTATTTTAACTTTTTTTAGTTTTCTTTGAGACAATCACCTCCTATTCTTTGCCTCGAATTTCTTTTGCTCATTCTAGTTCTTTTGGCTTAGGAATAAGAGGATGTAATTACTTTCATCGACTCCTTAGGGTTCACTAAAATACTCCATCCTTGTATGTCTTTTCTAGTAAATCCTAGAAAATATAATAATCTTCACTGGAATGGCTGACCACCCAGTCACATGAATAGTAGTTTCCATTATCTGTTTTTGATCAACTTCTTTGGCTCTTTTTTATTTTGTAACTACTGAACAATCCTGTATTCTCGACAAAATAACTTCGCACGTAGCCTCTCCAAAATGAATATTATTTATTCCTTTTGTCCTTGAGGGATGTGAATTTGCTTCCATGATTCCCTATTGATTTGGAATGTTTATCACCAATAGAAACATGTCCGGGTTTATCATTTTTTTTCATGTATCAAGTTTAGTAGGGATTTAACTATAACACTATTTGGTTGCTTCCCTTTATGAATGTTTCAAGTAAAAGTGGGTTATTTTCTTTTATTAACTTTGTGCTAGGACGGCCCAGAAGGGGCCGGCTGGACCGGTCCAAGTCTACTCCAGGTGGAAGCCTGGATGTGCGGAAACAGCAAGGGGGGCGGAGCCCCCTGTGGGCCCCACTTGGGGTTAAATCATTTTGGGAGGGAAATTTTTGAATGAGGGGCTGTTTTAGGTATTTTGTAATTTTCCTTTCTTTAATTAGGAGTTATGCTGAGAGTTGGCTCATCTTGAATTTGAATCTTATTTGAGATCTAGGTTTTGTTCTTAGGCTCTTGGTGTTGCCGGAGATTGTGGAGAGTATATTTCCTTCCTCTCGAATTGAAGGAAAATTGTATATTTCTTTGTTGTCTTGCATCTACTATTGGAATACAAGAGATTTGCGTGGTTTTCTCTCAGATTTCTAGCATAACTCTCCTGTTTCTCCCTGTTTTTGGGCTGTTTCCTGCTGTGGACAGCAATAATATTGCTGCAGTTTACTGATTTTGGCTAGGAATACTTGTGAATACAAGTGTTTCCTATCACTTTGTTGGAGATAATTGTACCTTTTTTGGCATCCAATGCTTTTTTCTACCTGGAATCTTCTAAATGATTTTTCGAATTTTAGCAAGTCCAATTTCTCAAATTTGACCACTCAATTGCTCTTGGAAAGCTATGCGTAAATATAAAGCATTCGGCCATCAATATTAGTCATCAACAGTTGAACTACATGTCCCTCTTCTATCTATCATTCACATTTCATACTCAAATTGTGTCATTGAGTAACATACTGTCACCGATTCATCTCTTTTGCATTTTTAATGGCTAAGTCAATGATAGTTTTATTATTGCGTTAGGAAACCTTTTCACAAGCATTGTCTCTAGTTTAACAAATACCTTGATATAATCATTTTGGAGTTCGACATATCTCTCAAAAACAATCATTGTGATGCAACTAATGAATTGACAAAAGAGTAAAACATAAGCGCTTCCTATGTTGATGCAAGCCACTTAGACCTGGGGGAATTGTTTTCTTGGATTATCTTTTTTATTAAACATTTTGAATGACACCTACTCATATTTTGTTGTAGATAGATGAGCAGGCAACCCTTCCCTACTAACTGTTTTATTCGTTTGGAAGCTTTGAGTGCCTTGATTTTTTCATTGATAAGAGTTTTCATTTGGGTTGTAGTCATTACTTCTTATGTACTTAGATTTTCTTGAGTGAGAGGTTGAGTTGCTTTTGACCTCTTTTAGATGGTTTGAACTGAAGAAGTCTGAGACACAAGATTGTGCATCGCTGTCCATCTGATGAAATTTCTTGGCGCATCCATCAATTTGACAACTCCAACGTGTTTCTCCACGGTTCATTATATGAAATTATATATATACAACAACTTCCGGGTTTTCAGGATGCAATTCACCCAACATATGTATGTTTGTATGTTGGCTGAAAAAGGCTCTCTATGGCCTCAAATAATCGCCTCGTGAATGGTATGCCAAACTGTCTAGTCGACACCTACAGGACTTTGGTTTTCAAAGTAGTGCAGCTGATCTATCCTTGCTAACATAAAAATCAGGTCCTGTTATCATGTATATCCTCATTTACGCAAATGATATTTTGCTTACTGAAAATACACCCATCGAACTAGACATGCTTCTCTCAAACCTACACACAAGATTTTCGATGCGCAATTTAGGCTTGTTGGTTCAGTTTTTAACCATCCAAGCAGTCCCTACTTCCTATGGAATTTATTTGAATCAGCATCAGTATGCCCATATGATTTTCGAAAGAGCTGGCATGCAAAATTCAATATCAGTTTCTACTCCAACTTCATGCAAATCAACTCTCACAGCTGATTCCAATGCTTCTTTCTCTAATCCACAACTCTATCGCCAATTAGAAGGATCATTGCAATACCCCACTCTCACCCTGCCAGACATCCAATTTGCTGTTCATCAGATCTGCCAACAGATGCATCATCCACTTAACTGTCATTTTGATGCTCTCAAACATCCAATTCGCTATATTCAGGGAACCTCCACCAGTGGCTTGCCCTTATACAAAGATTTTCTCACCTTACACAGTCATGCTGATTCGGACTGGGCTAGCAACTCCAATGACCAGAAATCAATATCCGGCTATTGTAACTTCCTGAGTAAGTCTCTCATCTCTTGGCAAGTTAAAAAGCAATCTACCGTTGCTCGGTCCTCCACCGAAGCTGAGTATAGAGCTTTAGCCATAGCGGCTTCTTAAGTCATTTGGCTAAGACGACTTATAGTTGACTTTCATCTGCTGCAACCTTCTCCCACTATCCTTTATTGTGATAACATATCTGCCATTGCTCTAGCAAACAACCTAGTCTTTTATGTGTGAACGAAACATATTGAAGTTGATTGTCATTTCATTCGGGATGACATTCAAGCCAAGCATCTCTCTGTTCATCACATCAGCACTCATGATCAGCTGGTTGATATCTTCACCAAGACTTTTACCATTCAGAGGTTCAAAACACTTTCTAGCAAATTGACCACTGCTGTTGCACCGTCAGTTTGAGGGGGCTGTAAATCACAATGCTCTACCTCACTACCGCAGTCTCCAAAAGTAGCAATCGGTTACAGCTGCATCCAAGCCCTCTACGTATCATGCGACCTGTATCAGGACCACAGCTTAATAACAAACTCTGCCAAAGCAATTATTCTCTTGTAATCCTTAGTCTATATAAATACTGAAACTCACTGTAATACGGTATATAAAGAAATACAGTATTATGCTCACCTGCTCTGCTTTCAACTCGGTACTATTTCTTAAGCTTGGAGTTTAACAGTCATATCATATATTTGCATGATTACTTCTTTCAGGTTTTCTTCTTCTTGGTGGTTGTGAGTTTCTCTACCTGTTCATTATGTGAAATCTGAGTTCCAAATCTGCAGCATAGAAGGTACTGTTCAACCATGAGACCATCACGAACTGATCAATATTTTTTTGTCAAGCTATTTAAAGTTCTTAAAGCTATTGAAATTTATATGATTTTCCTATTCTTTTATTTATTTATTTTCTTCCATGTGATGAATGATAGTGAAAGCTGGGTCTTCCAGCTATTTTCCGAATTGTAGAAGTTAGGTGCCTCTTGTTTGGTGTCTGGATAGTCGGCCTTTTTGTATTTTGCTTGTTTTTCTTCATGAATAGAATATTTTCTAGAGTTTTGGAAAGAACAAGAACTACAATATGGCTTAGTGCGCCCATTGATTGATGTGACTAATAACATATCATATAATTCTATTAGACCAATCCAGTGGACCGGTCCAGCTGGTCCACGCGGGACCGGCCCAGACACAAAACAGCGGAGCCTTTCCTCCTTCGACGGATGCCAGATGCCGCGCGACCCGCAAGCCTTGCGGGAGCATAATAGGAAGGTTTTTTTGGGGGAATTAAGAGGAAAATTTGAATGTAGGGATTGTTTAGGGATTTCCTTTTGATTTGTATGCATTAAATAGTTTGTTTTCCTAGGATTAGGGCATCTTGAATTTGGCTGAAATTTGAGATCTCTTGGATTTCTTTTGGGCTCTAGCGGCATCTAGAGATTGGGAGAGAACGATCCTCCTCTCGAATAGAGGATCAATTGTATCTTGCTATTTTCCGTTTACCTTTCATCAAATAATACAAATGATTTACTGGTTTCGTGGTTTTGGCGGACTTTTGTGAAGAATTCTCTCTGTTTTCCGAAGATTGATAGGAAATACTTGAGATCTACAAGTGTTTCCTATCAAATTCTAATTGAGCATCTCTTTGGAAATATAAATGAGAAGTTAAAGCTGCAGAGAAATAGTTAGAAGATATGAAATCTTATTAGGTGTAGTAATAATAATAGTTTGTATTATTATAAATTTATTTTATTGGAAGATAAAATGAAGTCTTTGTCCCCCTTGGATATATTTAATGAATGAGAAGTTAAAATTATTATTAAAGAATAAGGAAGAAAAAATTAGTTCACTTAAGATTTGTGCAGAATATGTTTACGACCTTATTCAATATTGGCATGAATGAATATAAAATGAAGATTATAAAGAAAACATCAAATAATTAGGATAAAACTAATGATGATGGTGATACTAATGATCAGGATTAGCTTGGCTATATTTTTAATTAAAGCATTAATCAATTAGCCTGCTGGAAGATTCAGCTATACATTAACAGGGATTAACAAAATCATTTTTCATGAATGATTAAATGGTATTTTCCCTTGTTTGAATTCCTTTAAATTAAATAACCTTTTAGTATTCATTAAAATTATCAATTGATTTCTGAGTCACTAGCTGACTCTTCTCCTACTTTCCCCTTTTGATTACTAACTAATGATTAATTAGGATTTCATTAACTTAATCAAATATAAATTGAGGTAACTAAACATAGATGACTTAATTAATAGATTATTAAATCTATGTAATTAATTATCAATTAGAGATTGGCTAAAGTCTACCATGTTTTAATACTTGCTACTAAACTAGTATATATATTAAATAGGTTCCCTAAGACTCTTAATCAAAAGAAAAAATCTGCATTCTTTCATTACATTTTTGTCCCTCAGATTTTTTTTTTCTCAACCATCAATCAATGAGTTAAGAAATTCGTGGCAACTTTAGCACCTTATTTTTTTTCAATTATTCTCAGGTACAAGTTGCTTTTCTTTGCACCAACTCTCTCCAGCATCCAAGATTTTAGGTAAGCATGCATAACTTGAATTTTCTTACATATTTGACTGATTATGTTTCATTTATTCATATACAACACAAATGAATAGCGAAAGTACAATTATAACATTCAGAGGTCGTCTGAAAAAGAAAAAAATTATGTCAGAATATTCTGATTAAAATTTAATCGAGATGAGCTTCATTGTCATTGAATCTAAGCTCATATTGATTTTTGTACTAATTTTAGAATATATCTAAAGATAATTAAGCTTATCATGATTGGACTTGGATCAAGAAACACAAACACAAATTTTTTCCACTTGTCCCCATCATATAGTCCCTCACAAATTTCATGACAAACCTTATATATTCATATAAAAGAAATTGTAGGAGTAGTGGAAGAAAAAAAGGCCATCTGGATGGCATAATGCGTGGAAACTGGAAAGTTAGAAAATTCTGGGAGCCACTGGGAGAATTTTAAAGCTGGAAGGAGAAGGTGTGGCATGGGCCCCTGCACCGCAACTCCATCAATACATTTAATCTTTTTATATTATCATAGGTGTTAGCAGTTAGCATATATGATACAAATTTACTCATAACAGTCTTTGATCCGGTTAGAAGAGTAAATGTATTAGATCCGGCCTATGCAATGAAAGATAGAGATAGACTTAGGCTTCGTTTGGGGCAACTTTCTTACTTCTTTTTAAAATAACTTTCTAGTACAAAAATTTCTGGAACTCGAATTTTCTGTACTATAAAACTGCTTTAGAAAGCCTTAAAAAGACTTGATTAGAAAGTATTAGATTTGAATGAGAATTTGACTCTTAATAAGGCACAATAGAGAAAAATGATTCATGTAGCAGATCGCGTGTAGTGTGATGAAGAATCAATTCAATAACAATCATTATAATATTTTATATATATCACAAAAGGTTTTGATTTGCGCACAGCAGCGTCCTTAACAAATTCAATCAGTTTGCCTCCTTCCTAACACCTCCTTCCATGATGAGATATAGAGAAGGGGGGGATGAGGCACGTGAGGGTGGCGTGGATTGCTCAGCACGGGGTTTTATTGTTTATAGTAAGTGGCCAGGTTGGCCATTTTGACCACATCTAAAGCTTATTATAGGCTAGCTTTGGTGATTTAGCACACTATAGACACTGTGATCGATCATGTGTGTGGTAATTTTTAGGATTGCTAGCATTACTATAATGACCCAAAGATTGTCTTCCTCTATATTTTGAGGATATCATATTGTCTATGAGTTTTTTTTTTCTTTTTTTCATTAATATGTATTTTCTATGTTATTATTAAGGTGTGAAATTTTAATTTGGTGGTGTGATCTGTAATGCTTTATGGTGCAAAATGTTGGTCATTAAAAGAGAAGTATAAAATTAAGTTATGTGCAAAGATGAGGATGCTTAGATGGATGTGTGGCTTTGCACTCTGAGACAGCGTGTAATGAGTACATACGTAGAAAGGTTGGAGTAGATCCAATGGCGGATAAGATTAGAGAGAGTCGCATAGATGGTTTGGTCATATAAAATGTCGGC